GAGAACCCCAAACAAAAGGAATCCAAAGAGGACCACACCAAGACACATCATCATTAAAATGCCAAGAGCAAAAGACAAAGAGAGAATCTTAAAAGCAGCAAGAGAAAGAAAGTCAGTTACCTACAAGGGAATACCCATATGACTGTCAGCTGATTTCTCAACAGAAACTTTGCAGGCCAGAAGGGAGTGGCAAGAAATATTCAAAGTGATGAATACCAAGAACCTACAACCAAGATTACTTTATCCAGCAAAGCTATCATTCAGAATTGAAGGTCAGATAAAGAGCTTCACAGATAAGGAAAAGCTAAAGGAGTTCATCACCACCAAACCAGTATTATATGAAATGCTGAAAGGTATCCTTTAAGAAGAGGAAGAGGAAGAAAAAGGTAAAGATACAAATTATGAACAACAAACATGCATCTATCAACAAGTGAATCTAAGAATCAAGTGAATAAATAATCTGGTGATCATAATAGAATCAGGGACATAGAAAGGGAATGGACTGACTATTCTTGGGGGGGGGGGAAAGGGGTGTGGAAGATGCGGGAAGAGACTGGACAAATATTGTGCACCTATGGATGAGGACAGTGGGTGGGGAGTGAGGGGGGAGGGTGGGGCGGGAACTGGGAGGAGGGGAGTTATGGGGGGAAAAAAGAGGAACAAATGTAATAATCTGAACAATAAAGATTTGATTAAAAAAAAAAAAAAACATCGACTCTACATTCAAAGATGTCTCGTAAAAATACTTTAAATCCAAAATTTTTCTGTAAGAATAATTACTAAAAGATACACAGATTTATTTTATACTTAAATGTTCACTTAACAACAATTTTGCTTAATTTCAGATTCTCCCCCCCCCCCAGCCCCCTGTGTGTAATTTCAGTGTAGTTTTTAAAGGTTTCTTCGTTTTAATCAGTTGATTAAAATAGACTGCTATCACAGCGAGTAGTATCCACAATTAGATATAATCAGAGTCTGGGTAGTTAAGTGAGATATTTTCTATAGATATGCAACAACTCCAAAATGTTCTACTTGGTCAAGAGTTTCACTAGCCTACCTGAAACTAATGTAAATCCTATTGTTTTGTGTTAATTCAGCAAATATTTACTGAACACCTACTCTGTGCCAGACATATCAGGGGTACAACAATGAATAAGACACCTCCCAATTTCAGCTCCCAGGAAGCTTGTGATTGGTGTGTTGTGGGTGGGCCCATGGCAGAGGACATCAGGACACTTCACTAGAGTGTCCTACGTGCCCAAGTTGGGCAATGTAAGGCCAATGACTATGTGGAATATTTTTTTACAAAAGGGATGGATGGCAACACTGCTCATAAAAGAGGATTTTTATAAAGAATTCATAGTAAGAGATGAAAGAGGTAAGATTAAAATAGAGGAAATGACTAGGCAGTTTAGAGAAGGAGATTAAAGGAACAAAAGGTAGAGCAAGATTTAGGCACTCCCCCCTTTCCCTCCCCCCCTCCCCCCTACAATGCAGTATCTGGGAACTGCAGACAGTTTTGGAGAAGTATTCATTTTTATTCATTTTAAAAAAGGGATGGAGGAGCAGAATAAAGAGATAGGAAGGTTTAGAGAGAAATGAGGTCAAGGAGGAAAGTTGAAATAAGGAACTAAATGTGTGTGTGCTCATGCATATGTTTATGTAGATTTAGAAATTAGTAGTCAATAAATATTACTAGTAACTAGGTTCAGAACATCATGCTAAGTCATGTGAGAATTAGAATCATTGGTCATGAAGGCTCCGTCACATTTTGTGGTCCTAGGTTCCTTTGACTCCCAGATTCACCTTGCTAACCTAAACCATTTAAGTTTTATTGATGTTCACTGAGGATCCACTGCTATTGAATAAAAGATACCCTTCAAAATAAGAAGTGATGCAGCCTAAAATCTTGAAATGGGGCACTTTTCTCTTGGCTTATCCCCAACCCAAAGGAACTCTGTTGTCAGTTTAGAAAGCTAAACATTTTAGTAAATATGAACATCTGAGTAAATATGAACATCTGATGACACCTTTGTATTGCACAAAGTTCCAAGAACCAACAAGCAAATGTTAACTGATAATTAGAATTGTCATATAAAACAAGTTGAATGCTGGAATATTACAACAGAGAAATAAAAGTGATAGGTATATCAAAGAAAACCCATTTTCTAAAAAAATAATTTAGAAGCTTGAGTTCTGAGGAGGAAATTATCTGTAATCAATAATATTCACTGTTTAGGGACTTCTGGTTTATTTTCATGTAGTAATGCTAGACCACACACATGTTCTAGAACAGGTACTATTCTTCATTTGCTTAGGAATCAAGTAGGGCAAGAGTCCAGCTTTCTGGAGCTAAACTTTTTCAAGGCAAAAAAACCCCAAACAAATACGTACTCTTCAAAGAAATCACTTGCTCCCCCTCATATGTGTAGGCCAACATGGAAGTGAGAAAACAGATAATTGTATCCTGTTGAAAAAAGACTGCAGGTATGGATAGCTATCAATACATAAGTGTTTCTTTATGATTATTCTCCACTTTTCTAAGCAAATTTTCTTCTTCTTAAGTTTACTAATGGGCCACATTTTAGGCAGTTCTTCATGACATTTTCACTATAAAACAATATTATAACATGGTCATCATTTTATTCCTCAAAACTTCCTCAGAATCAACACCTATCAACCTAATGCAAGTGTTGCAGCTCAGACAGCTCCGTAGTTTCCTGAGTTGTATTTATGCAGCTTGGCTTTCATTATCTAAACATAGAAAGCAAACTAAAACTAATCTAAATAATAATTCCCTAAAGAAGAGAGTACTGAGGTATTTTTGAGACTGCTCTGAGTCCCTGCTATTTGCCCTGAAGTTAATTCACAATGGAGATTTAATAAGGAGTTCTACTGGGTTTTTGGCACTCAACTTCATGGAACTTCATGTTGCTATATGCTCCCATTTCAGGTAATTAAGAGAAAAACCCTACTTTCTCCTGATTTGGGCCATGGATTAGCATGGATCTACCTATAGACTAACCAAACAGCTCGTGTGCTGATCTGGTATCATTTTTACATGGGTTTTAATTGCTTCTTCCTTTGTGAATTGTAAAAGACACAGGCTGAACACAGCTCTGATTTCAATGTCACTTAGAAGGATTAACAACCATAGATAGATGCCAGTATTATAGGAAAACAAATCTGCACTAGACAGAGCCACATTTATGGGGCTTAAAGGTAATTGTTGTCATAAAACTGAAAAAGGTAGCAGAGTTTCAGGGGAAATGTGTCCTGGAGACCAGGCGCTAGCTGTAGTTCCACCACTGACAGTTTGACACCTGTGCCTCAGTTTCTCTATCTAGAAGACAGGAGAGAAGAATAATTGCCTTGGTATTTGCCTCCCAGAAATATATGTAGTTTGGTTAAATAATACATGGGAAGTGTACTCAATCATGGGAAGCTTAAATATTCTGCTTCAATTCAGTAATTTAAAGTCAATTTTATAAAGGTTTTAAGCAGCACATTTTCAAAAGCATCCACTCAGTAAAAATTGCCCAACATATAACATAATTGTAAAATATTGTACATCCACGGATCCACTGGAAATAAGAGACAGAAACACTAAGGAAAACAGCATATGGTCAGGGGGAACTGGAGCCTCACTTGCAGTCTTATTTCCAGCACTTACGTCACAAATTCCACAATATTTGCCATATGGTTTTGATGGAAATTGTATGTTATATTTCAAAGTAGATTCTATCAGTTCCCACCTTGGCAAATAAGTCAAGAGTTAGGTTATTCAAATGTAAACCTGCATTTAAAAGAACACATTACCTTATAAATGCAAAAATAAATGACTCAAATAAGAAAACAGTCTCTCTTTTACTTGATGGTCACATATGGCCTTCCTCTTTCTCCTTTAGTGTAAACACTTACTAGTAAGCAAGGATCTGTACAGATTGAACCGCAGGATATTGCCTAATGGCTGCTTCACAAGTTTCAACGAATGCAAAGATTGAGAGGAAATGGTGAGCAGACCTTTAGGCACATTGGATTGAAGGAGTCAGAAAAAAAGAAGCATGAACCCAATTCCTTAAAGTCTAGATCAGTGGTTCTCAATCTTCTGGCCCTTTAAATACAGTTCCTCATGTTGTGACCCAACCATAAAATTATTTTCGTTGCTACTTCATAACTGTAATGTTGCTACTGTTATGAATCATAATGTAAATATCTGATATGCAGGATGGTCTTAGGCGACCCCTGTGAAAGGGTTGTTTGACCACCAAAGGGGTCGCGACCCACAGGTTGAGAACCGCTGGTCTAGATCATCTCCAGCTCAGATATCAAACTATCTCAAAGGTGTGATGGTGTCTGCCAAAACTGAGCTGAGGATTGCTTGAATGGTCCACAGACTATCTAGTCCAGTGGTTCTCAACATTGGCTGCACATTAGAATCACCTGGGAATCTTTTTAAAATCCTGACTTCTGGGCCTCATCCTCCAGAAATTCTTTCTTTGTTATGGGGTGGGGCCACAACATTAGTAACAAAGAAACAGAATTTCCGGAGGATGAGGCCTAGAAATCAGGATTTTAAACAGGTTCCTAGGTGATTCTAATGTGCAGCCAAGGTTGAGAACCACTGATCTAGTCTCTCTCCTGCTTTAACATATTCTGTTTTAGGTAAACACTTGCAAACAGGTAAACTGAGTTAGCTACATGGTAATCAAGAACTTGAGATCCACGGGGATGGAGTTTACTACCTGACCTTTGGTTAATCTGTGCTCTACCTTCCAAGACTGCAGTGACAACCTCACTGAGCATGTGATTTCTTTTGAAGAGTATGCATTTGTTTGGGGATTTTTTTGCTTTGAAAACTTTTAGATCCAGAAAGCTGGACTCTTGCCCTGCTTGATTCCTAAGCAAATGAAGATGACCTGAGCATCGGAAGAAGGACTGAATGAGGCAAAATTACTTCCCTCGCATTGAAATAAACCACCTGAGCCCACCAATCTTACCTGCTGGTTGGATCTGACATCACTGAAATTCATTTTTTTCCCCAAGTCTAGAATCACTGCATTCTTAGCTTCACGAATGTAATCATCATTCACTGGCTGGGGAGACTTTGTATTTTTCTTCATTAGCCCCTGGGTTGGCCTGTAAAATAAATTCACACCCAACACACCCGTGAAAAGCACTAGTCAGTGTGGAAAGGCCCAGAAATCAGAGCGGTTAAGATGGCAACGAGGCACGAGGAGTCATCAGCACTTATGGAGGGCATGTTGTGTGCAAAGGCTGAGCACTGCACAGAGAATCTGTGTTAGTAGAGGTGTTTTCAACATTTTGATTACAAAAATTATTTAAATTGATCAAGCCCTTAGGTGTTCAATATCCATGTTGTGTCTAATAAACAGGATTATGCAGGAATCCACTCAGTGAGACTCCTGTCCCAGACCAAGCTGTTTTGTATGTGTCCCTTCTTAACTGACACCTTTTCCGTGGAGAAACCTCGACGACACTTACGTGGATGGTGCACTTCTGGGCAGCCCCATGGCATTGGTGGGTGGGACGGCAGGGAGAGAAGGCAGGACAGAGCTGAGGAAAGCCACGGGGTTCTGAATCCGGCTGGTGGGAGAGACAGGACTTGGAGACACACAGCGGGGCTGAAACTGGTGTCCGCCCGCGATGGGAAAAGAGAGTGGCGGTTGTGCTGGCTCCGTTGGACCTGGAGGGGGTGGCTCGTTCTGGACGGAAACGCCTCCTAGAGATTTGGTTTGCACGAAGGGGTGAGAAAGTAAGAGGCTTTCTTTGCTCACTGTCCTCTGCATGGTCTGAGGAGTGCTGCTCAGGGTGAACACTGGGGAGCTGGCACGGGCCGCGGCTGCCATGGCGGTGTTGGAATTCGTGGAGGGGAAGAAAAGCTTGGGCCGGGCCAGGCTGAACGTCTGCGATGAGGGGGTCTTCACAGGCTTGCTGGGCATTGTCCCTGCTGGGGAAGCAACGGAGTTCAATACACTCATGTTGAAAGGAAACTCCTTAGGAGACGAAGGAGATGGGTTTTGCAGCTGCTGCTGTTCCAGCAGGACCTGGTTGTGAAGCTGCTGGAGCTGGCTGGAGTCGCTGCACAGAGAGGGGGAGAGAAGGGAGATCATCACTTGGGCATCCCCTGCGGAAATGTGCACGGGCTGTTCACAACTTTATGCTGAGGAAGAGCACACAACCAGAGCCGCCAGAAATCAGCGAATCAATTTCTTGTGAGTTGTTCCTCCTTCTTTCTAAATCTGTTTTATTGTCCCTAAGCAGGAAAAAGGCCAGTGGGATACATAACAACGAGGCACCATGCACATTGTATTCTCTGTGGGGTGGCCCTGGGGTGGTGCAACAGAGCAGCCCAATTGTAATGTTTATAAATTAGAAAAGAGACATAGAAGCAATGGTCCCCTTGTTGGGAGGGCTCAAGGCCCTGAGGTGAACAGACAGTATTTCAGCTTTGGGGCAGAAAGCACTGGGCCACACGCTGAGGTGAGTCGCCGAAGGGGCTGCATTCTCCAAGCCAACATGCTGTGTCCTTCACTCTGCCTCGTTTTAGAGCAAACCTGAACAAAGCAGCTGCACGTGTCTCAATGTTTCTCATCCTCTCCTGACAACAGTGCTGTACAGGGAAGGTGACCGTGTGTCCCCATTCAGCCTAGACCAGCCGTGGGCAAACTACGGCCCGCGGGCCGGATCCGGCCCATTTGAAATGAATAAAACTATTGAAAAAAAAGACCGTACCCTTTTATGTAATGATGTTTACTTTGAATTTATATTAGTTCACACAAACACTCCATCCATGCTTTTGTTCCAGCCCTCCAGGCCAGTTTAAGAACCCATTGTGGCCCTCGAGTCAAAAAGTTTGCCCACTCCTGGCCTAGACTGTTCTGGTTTATGCCTGTTTTCCCAGTTTAATTATTAATCGTTTCTTCCAGTCTAAAAAATGTCATGGTTTACGTGATAAATTATATGATTCCCCTATAAAAGTCTATGGTTTATAAAAGTCTAATTATAAACACTGACTTAGATTATTTTTGCTCCTAAGCAAAAGTAACTCAGAGTAGGAGCAGTTTCTTCATTTATAGGAGCTGGAGTCACAGAAGCATGACATGACTTGCCTTAAGTCCCACAGCCTATTTAACTCCTCTGAGTAAGCCAGTTATTTTTAAAGAATAAAAATGTCTAAAAGTCACACATGCAGAACGTTGTCAGGGCTGTCCAACTTTGCTGTTTAGAGACTCTATTCCTAAATGCACGGCCATAGGAAGAGCCACAAACGAGAGTGCAGGGTCCCAAGGCCACGTGGTTTTATGCTCTTTGGACATATAAGTTGCTTCTGAAACACAGATGGTGATCTGTCAAATATGAGGCCTATTAAAAATGAAAGGTTTTGTATTTGCTTACCATCAAGAAAGTCAACATCAACAGCAGTTATGTTGAACCAGAAGGTTCTCCAAACCTTGATTTTTCAAGGATTTTAAAATTGATTTTTAGAGAGAGTGGAAAGGAGAGGGAGAGAAAGAGAGAAACATTGATGTGAAAGCAAAACATCGACGGGCTGCCTCCTGCATGCCTCCCCACCCTTCTCTCCCCCACAGGCACTGAGCCTGCAACTTGAGCATGTGCCCCAATTGGGAATCCAACCTGCAGCCTTTTGGTGCACAGGTCAATGCCTAACCAACTGAGCCACACTAGCCAGGGCAAACCTTGATTTTCCTTAATTCTTGGAGTTTAACTTTTTCCTTTCCTTCATTAATATTTATGTTACACAATATTTGGAAAAGTAACTTTACAAAATGCAGACCCATCTCCACTTTTCATTACTGCTGTCAAATGTTACATACTGTACAATCCTTTGTTCATCTATGAAAACTTTGTCTTGAGTTAAACTAAGAATTCAGGAGTATTAGCCACTTGCCATGGTAACTTTCTTCTCCTTTTTAGAAGTGAGCTTTTAAACTAGAGAATAAATTAATACAATTAAATATTAATTAACCCTTTTTATTTCACAATAGATGAAAGATTCCGAAATTAAGAGAAGCAGAAATATCTTTGTGAAGTTATCCTTAGAAAAAATATGTACAATTAACATTGATTCTGCTGGTGTTGACTTTATCAATGGCATAAAAATACAGAATCTTTACATTTTCAGTGGACCACATATTCAGCAGGTCACATTCTGTGATTGCTGTAGCATAAACACAATGCTACGTAGTTTTCAGGACATGTTTGTGTTGCAGGCTGAGTAAAATTTAATCTGATGACCATATTTTATTATGGTTATGGAAACAGAAAAAATAGTATATGAAAAGGAAGTAATCATGAAAGATAAGGGTGATAAAAAGAGGCCAGGAAGTTATTTGGTATTTATTGATTCTTCTTTTTCCTTAGCTCCCACTGAATGAAAACTAAATACCAGTTGTTTTTACTTTAATATTCAAATGGCATGTTAGTGCTTATCATTCAATGCAGTATATTAGATTATATAGGTGGGTTTAAACCTTAATGATATATGAGATATAGTGTCAAATTGTTTTGATTATCTAAGAGTCTAGAAAAATTCATTTGAGAATAATGTCTCTTTTTGTTTGAACAATTCCCCTCCCCCCCATTTTATTAAACTCCATCTTGTCCAGGGGGGATTTAAAAGAGCTGTTTGGATTTGCTCATTCATTGCATCAAGACAAGTTGTCAATTCCATTATTCGATGGGCTTTTATTGAATCTTCTATGTGTCTAGTTTGCTAGGTACTGTAGGAGATATAAATATGCCTCGGATAGTATGAGCTATTCAGGGCTCAAAAATCTTACTATATGTACATGTAACACAAATAATCAGTGGTTATTTGCAGATAATACATGGAGTTCAGTTACATTTAATAATTAAGGTATAGCATTAATGAAAAAATAAAGGAAGGGAAGATTAATTATAAAGCAAATCAGTTCTAAAATCCTGAGTAACCTAATTCAAAGTAACAGCCTGCCATAAATTGCTATAAGCTCAGCTGCTCATTTATCGTTGCTGTAAGGATTTCTGAAATCAGGTTTATACCCCAGCTTTCTTCCTGTAGATTTATCAACTTTCTTGGGTTACTTGAAAATATCTCTTCTTTCGCCACCACTTAAGCATTATGCTCAAGAATATGGGCTCTGCAGACAAAGAGATGTAGGTCCTAGTCCTGGCCCTGCCACTCATTATTGTGTGGCTTTGGGAAGTTTCTAGACTTTGCTGACCCTGACTTCCCCCTAATTAAAGTAATAGATATTGATTTTGTTGTGAGAATTGATAAATAAATGACCAAATACAAATTTACAAGTGGTCAATAAATGGTGGGTATATTTTTTAGTTTCTGAACTACAAATGACAATTGAAAGATTTGTAAGAATGAAAATCAGGTTCAGAATTATAAGGATACTTCTGGAATACAAAAGAATTTCTCAGGGATTTTGAACTGTCAAAATACAGTGCCAAAGACAAACACAACAAGACAAACTTGGGATACTGTATCCAGGACTTTTGAAAGCAATTCTGGCAACAACAACTTCGGGCAGCATGTGCTGGAGCCAGCTCCGGAGGGCTCTGTCCACAACTCATCCCCGATCCCAGTTCAATGACCTTTCTTTAGTAGCTTGAAATCAGCCATGGTGGGAGGAAATTTATAAATGCTACCCTCAGGGCTTCCCTGCCTCTGCCCATTACTAAAACATTGGCCAGCACATCACTGATTAGGATAACTGATTCTGAGTAAATCCGTCTCCACAATCAGCTTTTAGCTGTGGTTTTAGCAATGGTTATATCTCAGGCTGCACATTAGGATCACCTGGAGAGCTCAAAAGACAAACAAACCTCATTGATTTAGGCACGATGGCTCAGAGAGTCAATTGGCCTGGGAAAGGATCCAGGCATAGTTATTATCTTTTAAAATGCAGGTCAGTGGTTCTTAAGCTTTAGTGGGCCCTAGAATTCTCCGGGGGCTCTAGTTAAAACACACATTTCTGGGCCTTACCCCCAGAGTTCTGACTCAGTAGCTCTGAGACTGATTCAGGGCCACAGACTCTGCATTTTATCAAGCCTCCAGGTGAGGCCAATGCTATAAGTAGCAAGGCTGTCAAGCATGTCAAACTCGTTTAAATAAACGAGGCAGGCAGCCCGCCAGCTGCGAGTTTGACATGCTTGCCTAAGTGATTCTTGTATGCATCCAGGACTGAGAACCTCTGCTCTAAAGAGACACTCATCCTAAAGTATAGGCTTTCCCAGTACATTCCATTTTTGTCTGACACTTGACTCACTTTAACTGTTAATTATTGTTTTTTCCTGGGTGTGGAGGGGTGTGTGATGGGGTAGGGTGGGTTGACAAAAGGTTGCAACTCAGGTTGTCCAACTCCAGACCAGTAGTTTGCAACCTGGCTATACATTAAAATAACCTGTAGGGAGATTCTGATTCAATTGTGAGGGAAGGAATAGATATTTTTTAAAAGCTCCATATTTCATTCTAGAGAGTAGCCAGGATAAAGAATCACTGATCTAGACAGCTTGGTATTCAAGTTGAAAATTTCAAAATCTGAATGATCTAGGTTCTGATAATAATAGTGTTTAAAAATGACAGCTTCATGTGGATTCAAGGATGTGCGTGTGTGTATGTGAGCATGTACATGTGCCTATTCTAATAAAAACCTAAGAGACCCTGACCGGTTTGGCTCAGTGGATAGAGCGTCAGCCTGCGGACTCAAGGGTCCCAGGTTCGATTCCGGTCAAGGGCATGTACCTTGGTTGCGGGCACGTCCCCAGTGGGGAATGTGCAGGAGGCAGCTGATCAATGTTTCTAACTCTCTATTCCTCTCTGTGAAAAATCAATAAACTATACTAAAAAAAAAAAAACCTAAGAGAAAAATTTAAAAAGACAAAAAATATTAAAGAATTATATAGTGCTGAGAACTGGATTTTTATAGGGTGTCACTACATAATTTAGTAGAAAGAATTTTTATATTCATTAAAGTCTCATGTGGCAGATATTGCTGGCTGACTACTTTGTAAAAGTACTCGGTTTTATTCCTGGAGGCAATATGTGCCATCTAAAGACTGCATTTCCCAGCCTCCTTTGTGGTTAGTGTAACATGTGATTAAGTTCTGGCCAAAAGATTGGAGTAAGACCTGAGAAGGCCTTCATATATATATATATTTTTTTTTAATTTAAATTTTTTATTCTTTAAAGTATTACATAAGTCTCCTTTTCACCCCATTGACCTCTCCCCGGCTGCTCCCCTAAGAAGACTTTTTAAAAAGAGTTTGATATCAAGACCCACCCATTTGCTCTTCCTGCTGCTTGAAATGCAGACATGATGACTACACCACCAACCTGGACCATGAGGGGACCTAGAGAAGTAGCCAGTGCTAAAGATGGCAGAGCAGAAAGATAGGAGGCTGGGTTCTTAACAGAGCCACAGACAGCCTATCTGATTCCTTGATTTAAGAGAGCAATAAACCCTCATGTGTTTAACCCCCTGTTAGTTTGTGTTTTCTGCAACATGAAACTAAATCTAATCCTATCTGACATACATAATAGCTCCCAAACAGTCCTGGGGTAATAGGAGGCAGTCTTCAAGGAGATTGTATGGGTTACTTGTTCCCACAACTCCCTTCCCTGAGAATTCCCACCCAGGCCCCACAGTTCTGTGATCCATTCGACTCTTCCTCCCTCCAAACACAAGTCCTCTGCACTTGACCAGCCTGGACCAGTTGGTATTTGGAATCCAGCTGTTGAGAACGATTTAGTTAGCAGTGCAACTTGACACAAATCGTGATGGAGAATGGGACACACCATGATGGACCAAGCCATAATCGATAAATCTTCAAAGAGATAATAGTGGAGTGGATACCCAAAGAGGAAACAAGGAGGCACTCCAGAAGTCAGAGGGTGAGAAGCAGACAGAGGCTGAACTAACCATGTGATCCCAGCTCCCAGTTCGCCTTCTCTGTACCGGTCTGGCTGTTCCTGCATAGATCCCCACAATATCCTCTTCCTCTCTTACTCTTTTAAGTGGATTCCGATTTCCTGGGACCAGCAGAACTTTGACAGTTCTGGATGGGACTTGCTAAGAGGCATATTACGTAACATTTCATTTTATGCCCTGCAATCTGCCTTATGTGGTAGTGAGAAGAATATAAAATGAAACAAAAGGAACCGCTTGCAATGAATATCATGTGGCCATCACTGAGAAACACATGATGGGAGTGCTGATACTGCAGATTTTAACGTTGATATTTAAAGATTTATATAATTACAAACATAATTTTTATCATTTTGATGTGTGGATCAAACAGAACATAACAGTAGTATCATGTTCTGTGTTTGCTTTACTATGGATGAACATCAAACATTGCAGCATGTCTCTGACAGAGCTGGATGAGAGTGATAGTACACTTAGATTGGTGTAAGGATGTGTTATTTTTAAAACATTTAAAGCGTATTTTCTGCCCTAGCTGGTTTGGCTCAGTGGATAGAGCGTTCACCTGCAGACTGAAGGGTCCTGGGTTTGAGTCTGGTCAAGGGCACATGACCGGGTTGTGGGCTCCATCCCCAGTAGGGGGCGTGCAGGAGGCAGCCAATCAATTCTCTCTCATCATTGATGTTTCTCTCCACCCCTCCCTTCCCTTCTGAAATTAATAAAAATATATTAAAAATAAAATAAAGCATATTTTCTCATTTTATAATTCCCCTTTCAGCTCCATAATTCTGAAGAAGGGAAGACTCAGAGATGCTCTCAGGCACTTGGTTGTCCATTCTGGATTTTACTTACAGTTTGGGTTTGGCCAGGACTGGAGGGGGCTCTTTGACAGGTGAGGAAGGCTCCGGGAGTTTTGCTGGCTGTACACTGAATCTCTCCAGGAAAGAATCAGGCCTGGTCTGGTTGGCAGTCACTGGGCCACCCTCAGGAGACGCCTCGCTTCCCTTGTCATCTTCAGGAAGGTTGAAGTGTACGCGGAGCCCGATTCTTGAGCTGGACCGGGGCTCGTTGTGGTTCACCAGAACCCCTTCGAGTTTGGGTTTAGGGGGTTGTTCCACAGAAGGAGGCTGTGGGTTGGGTGGGGATGGCTGCTGCTCAATCACAGCCAGGTTGGTGATGGAGTTGGCTGAGTGAAGAGACCCATTATTTCTGAGGTCTTCATTTCCTGAAACAACAGTAATAGGACCTCAGCTGTTATCTTACTCAATGAGACTGAGATGGGATTGTAACCCCGAGTTGGGGCATGTGTCCAAACCAGATGATTATGCGAATGGGGAAAAGGTTGTCAAAACAGAGGATATAATCTGGGGCATTAAAGATTGGCAAGGATACAGGAAAAAAGCTGAACTAGAAATCTAAGTACAGTTTTGGAAAGGATATTAGTTTATATAAAACCAAGGAGATGTTTTCTTAGGAGTGCAATACATAACAGTAGGACAACTGTGGGTGGTAGTGGTGGTTATAAATGCAATAAGAAATTGAAAATTGGATATTATTCAAGAACACTTTCCTCAATAATTCAATTTTTAAAAAATATATACTTTATTGATTTTAGAGAGGAAAGGAGAGGGGGAGAGAGAAACATCAATGATGAGAGAGAATCATTGATTGGCTGCCTCCTGCATACCCCCCACTGGGGATTGAGCCTGCAACCCAGGCATGTGCCCTTGGCCGGAATCGAACCCGAGACCCCTCAGTCTGCAGGCCAATGCTCTATTCATTGAGCCAAACCAGTTAGGGCAATAATTCAATTTTTAAGAGGAGAGCCAAGTTAGCTTTGTAAGAAAAGCAGTAGAAGGATAATATAAACTCTCCATACTTATATTTCAAGTCATGGTCTAAATTGTTCTAACATGTAAAGAGCCCTTACCTCTTACATCCAGCTGTGCGATGCTTGACACTGTGCCGTATTTGTTGCTTGCAGTACATGTGAAGCACCCAGAGTCTTCTGCAAATACCTCAGCAATGACCAAAGTACAAATCTCCTCTAAATGCCAGCAAAACAGAACGGTTACTGACATAATTATGAAAATGGAATTATGCAATTCACTATCAGATGGTTTTTCTATAAAAGTCAATGTAAGAAGTTGATTGCATTAGTTGTTTGAAAATAATTAGTCCAAACAATTATTGGATTGAATGGACTGATTAGGAGGCTAAATAAATGGAAGCACATAGAACAAATAACTCCACGCAGACAGACTATTGGCAAGAGAATATTATGATAATATATTATATATTATGGATTCTCAAATTGTCTTCTATATTTATGTCACCAGTTCACATGACAAAAGTAGAACTGAGAAACAATAAACTTTAAAAAAATCACAAAAACAACTTAGGAGTTAAGGCAAAAGGAGGTTTGTATGAAATAAAAGGATTAATAAAACATTTTTTAAACCCAGATTTATCACTATTTATGTGGGGAACTTTTGCAGTTAGGTAATTTTAAAGGAAGGCCACAATTTAAAACTGGACAATAAATAATTTGCTTAGCTAAATATTTGAAATTCTGGGTGAAAAACAAGGTAAATGCATTTTTTCCTTTGTAATACTATGGTAATCTGTTGGATTACTCCAATACACAGCATGAGCCCTCTTTTGAATAACTACAGAAGTGATTCCCAGGTAGAACCATATGCTTAAAGCCTAAAATTATTGTAGTTAGATATTACGTGACAGCTAATGAAGAGATAACTAAGACAGCAGCCTAAACCTCCAGTTATCACCCAGTAGACCTGACATTAAAAACAAAATTAATAAAAGCATAGTTGCATTTGGAGACACTTGGCATCTCAGTGTTTCATGATAACTGAATTCAATTAGCTGGACTACCGCTAGGAAGGCTGGACAGGAAGCCAGGGCAGAAGGTATGGAGCACCTGCTCAGTAACTACATTCTCTTCTCTCCTTATTAACTGAACCCTAACTGTTCGCCCTCCTTGGAGTGTTCATGTGCTTCAAGTCAAGTTGGCCTTGCCCAGCCTCAGCTGGTGAATGGAGACTGGTCGTGCTAAGCCAATCCTGCTAACTCTGTTCTTGATAAATGATGCCATATGACACACAATTCTGGTCAATGACATATTAGGGAATTTCTGGGAGAGATTTTCTTGTTCTTTACACAGGACAAAAGAAAGTGTTATTCCATATTTTTGTCTCTGAATATTGTCAGCTGCATATAATATCCATAGCTATGGCAACTGTCTTGGGTATATGAGTGGAACCAGCCTAAGAAGATACTCTGAAGATGGCAGAATGGAAAATGGAAAAAAAAAAAAAAAAAAAGGTTGGCCCCTGATGATCTCTGAGATGCTAAATCAATCAATTTCAAGACTGCTATTTCTTAGGGCATATTGCTATGTGAGAAAATACATTTTTTCTTATTGCTTAAGCCACTTTTAGTTAGGTCTTCTTTACTTGCTGCCCAAAGAATCCTAAATGATAGAGAGGCAAAGTTTGCTTTTGGTGCCTCTCTGTCCTTTTTTTGAGCCCTTAGCCTAAGCTTCCTTCTTTATGTTCCTCTTTCCAAACATTCGTGCTTCCCTTTTTCAGCAACCTGCTCTCAGAAAATGATCTGATAAATTCATTCACACTACACTATACCTACCTGATAAGATAAAACATTCTGTCTCCAAAGGGTACTTACATTATACAAGGTGGAAGGAATACCTCTGGCTGTGGGATTTTAGATCATGGAGCTGGGAAAGGCAGGATTTGTTTTGGGCAGGGACATCTTTTGAGAGACTCTGAAAGTGTTTTGTATATGAGACTGCCTAGTGAAAATGCCTGTTTTGGATGAATGTATTAAAAGCCTGAAATATTTTCAAGGGGAAAAAATACATTCTTCTACTAGAAGAATGTAAGAATAAAGACCCTCTGGTCTTTATTATGTATCCCCATAGTGAAGAGCTATGCAACATGGATTTTCAACATCTACTTCTGGAATGCCTTCCCATTCAGTTTTCTGAAGAGAGTTATAAATTCCAAGCCATCATTCTTACCTGGGGGTAAAAAGACAATGGAATATTTCAGGGTGATCACAAGGAGAACATCCAGATGTTTATGCTTGGATTGTGAGTAACTTGTATTTTTTGGAGGTAAGAGCTTCACCTACTTGTCACTTTCATGTCATCTTAGTATCCTTCCAATCAAATCTAATACCATCACAGACATTTTATTGATTTTTCAAATTTCAACATTTGATGCATAAGTTTTCAGAAATATAGGCTGTGAAATTTGACTTAGTCTAGCATTATAGCAATTGCTCTGCCCAGTTTTGAGAGGTCCTGAGGAGGGGCCAAGGGAAGAGGGAAGATATTCCTAAGAAAAAATCCTCAATACCACGAACTAACTGCATTCATATTAGGGATTGAGTACATATTCCAAATTTGCACATGCTCCCCTTCATTCATTCTTCTACAATAATAGCTAGAGTTGGTTTGGATCTTTTCTCTAAAACTTTATTTTTCACTTTTTCTTGACCCCAGTGTAATTTCAATATGTTTTGTTATATATATCAAACCACTGATCACACACTAATAAATTAAAGTTAAAATGTTCTTTACCTGGCTCTGCCATGGATCGAGGTTCTAGAAGAAAATAAATTAAAAGACACTTAGCATTTATATCACTGAGAGGCTATATTTTCATCAGAAGCTTCCTATAGAATTTCATAGTCACTTGCATACTCAATTGCATGAGCGATTTTTTTAAGGTTAAGCTATAATTTTAAGTAAAAGGAGCTAAGCACCAATGACCTCCACAGGGACAAGAAGGTTGTCACAGAGGGCAGCAAGAAAGCTGCTAACTAAATGATGTTGCTGTATCTTGAGACACATCTGGGTTCTAGGTAGGTGAGGAGGAAAAGTTACTAGCTGAGATTCAGGAATCCTCTAAGGTTTCAAATATTAAGAGCCCAGGATGGGTGACAGGTTCCTTGAGAGCTGGTCCTTAACCTTAAAATTCTTTATCATCCTTGAAAGTGCCTGCTGGGTACTGCATACAGGTGTTCAATTAGTGTTTATCAAATTGCAGGCACTCAGTGAGTAGCTGTTGACCTTAGTTACAATCTTCTACACTGATAGAATATTGAAGTATTTTTCTCGGTTTCAATGGTATTTCACATATATTACTGTTGCTGCTACTGCTGTTAAACTTGATAGTACTTTGATTCATATATCATACTGATCCAAGTACTACTATTTTGTGATCGACAGAAGCAAATTAACAAAAAAGCAAATAAATTTCAATGTATTTAATGCTGAAATGGGTCAAGGTGAAAGCACTTATGTGACAAGAAAAGAATAATTAACCACTTGAATATATAAATAACTCTTACAATAAAAAATAAAAACTTAATATAAAAAATGAGCAAAGGATATGAACAGGTAATTTAAAAACAATGAAATACAAAGACCAAATAAATATGAAAAATAGTTCCACCTCACATCTAATTAGTGAAGTGAGGATCAAAAGAAGTGTTTCACTATAAAATTAGTGAAGATAAAAAATTACTTAATCCTCATTGTTCATGAAAGTTGTAGTAAACTATAGGACCACATGTGTCCCAATTTAGCTGGGACAAACCTGGTTTATTCCTGGGATCTCTGTGTAATTATTAATAGTACCCTCTTTCACACCCCAAAGTGTCCCAGGTTGAATGGTAAATTGTGTGATCATCCTTAGTTTCAACCTTTGGGGATGACATTTTGGCAATATACAGGGGTAGGCAAAAGTAGGCTTACAGTTGTTCATATGGAAAAAGACACGCAGGTTATGATTATTACAATAGCTTTATTCATTCTGTGTTGCATGCACTCACAACTGTTAAGCTACTTTGCCCACCCCTAGATATTAAAAGTCTAAGAAAATGTGAATTTACAGTAGTAATTCTAGTGCTTTAATTTATTTTATATTCACAAAGATTTTCCTGTTAACATGCATTGGAGCATAGTTTATAATAGTAAAAATTTGTGAAGAACCTAAATGTTCAACAATAGAAAATTAAATAAATATGAAATTGATGGTATTGATCTATATTTTTAAAGTAAGAAAGGCCTATATTTATTAACATGGAAAGATGTTCCTGAAATGTTGAGTGAAAAATATTAATTTACAAAAAAGAGTATGATTACATTAGCTTCAGGCGAACAACCCAGTGATTAGACATTTATATAACTACGAAGCACTCACCCCAATAAGTCTAGTACCTATCTGACACCATAAAAAAAGAATATGATTTAGTTTTATTAAAAAATATTCATGGGTAGACACAGACAATAGGATGGTGAAGGCTTGGGGCAGAGGGGGGTTGGAGAGGGCAATGCGGGGGGGGGGGAGGGAGGGACATATGTAATACTTTCAACAATGAAGACTTATAAAAAATATATTCGTGGGAAAAATGTTGGAGATTATACACCAAAATACTAATAATTAGATTTAGATTTAGGGATTATGATTACAAGTGATTTTTAGAATATTTTTACTATATTTAAATTAGTTGTGAAAAATTATAAAAATAAATGCCTACAATACATTTATAAAAATTAATTATCAGAAAAATAATTTTGAAGCAACAACTTACTTTTCTGTAAGATTCTAAAATCTGGGGAATCTTCTATCAAGGTCCCTTCTCTGTACCACTCAACTTTAGGAGATGGAGCTCCTTTCACTCTGCATTCAAAGACGACCAGCTGACCCTCCGAGGCTGATAAATTTTGTAGCATCTATAATGAGAAGAACATTATTAGAACTAAAAAGTGTACATTTTTTGAAATCTAGTTCCAGTGCTGAATTTTTAGAAAAGATGCTATATTTGGATTTTCTCCAAATCTTCTACATCTCCAGCAGCTCCAATTTAGTTTATTTTTGAATAAAGGTTTAGCTTATTTTTGAATAAAGGTGCACTCTCTTCTTTCTTTTCCTCTCTGTTGCAAGGCCAGACAAGTTTATTAAATATTAGACAAAACATTTTGAAGGGTTCCAAAAATACTAATTTTTTGGTAAATTTTTGGTATTCTGTTCTTAAATACCCAAGTGGAGTTTAGTTTTCAGAAATAATAACAATTTTAAAAATCTGCAGTGAGTATTTACTAGGTGTACTCGGCATAAGAGTAATGTATTTTTCCACAGAAGAATATCACTGTCCACAAGGTGTAACATCTCTGTGGTCCAGTCAAATTAACTAACTGTTTTCCTGGCTTTGCTTTATTTACATTCTGCTGTCCTGGAAATTGACTTTTGTTTTGCTATTTTGTTTTCTTTATGTGTTCTTTACAGTCTAGCTTCAGTATCTATGCAGGGATATAAACTCTGGCAATCTCTATGAAATAACAGTCATATGTGTAGTCTTAGGTCATGGTAAATATCTTGTAATTTTGTGAAGGTGTCATTAAATGTTTTTCCACTCTTCCATAAAAAAAGGTTTATATAAACCACTTTGAACTGTAAAATATCAGTATATTCCATAATAGACTCTATGGGAGAATGGAACTCACATTTTCCTTTCACATCTAGTCTTCCACTCATCAAGATTTGTGAATTTAAAGTCACACATTCACTTATGTAGTAGGTGTTTCATTTAATTATGAAATGTTTCTTTGGCATGTGTGTGAGCATATTTTTCTTTTTAATTTTGGCCCGAGGATTATAAACATAGAAAGGTTATGATTAACTTCCTCCACAAGCTCTTTTTAGGAACAAATGCTGCAAGCCTTTCTATTATTACAATTTTTGCATCTGCAACTAGGAAATATTGGCTCTTGCTTCAGAGAAGGGGATAGCTATTTTTAAAAAAATATATATTTTTATTGATTTCAGAGAGGAAGGGAGAGGAAGAGAGAGATAGAAATATCAATGATGAGAGAGAATCATTGATCGGCTGCCTCCTGCATGCCTCCTACTGGGATTGAGCCCTCAACCTGGGCATGTGCCCTTGACCCGAATCAAACCTGGGACCCTTCAGTCGTCAGGCCGGCCAACATTCTATCCACTGAGCCAAACCAGCTACAGCAGGATGGCTAGTCTTTGTTTGTTTATTTCTTTTTTGCTTTTGTCATTCACTCTTATAAATATTTTGTGATTGTTTACAGCTCTTGTCTGAATAATTTATGATATGTTGTGCATGGCCATATCATATTTATGGCATTTGTTTAAGGAATACAGGGGTGAGAATAACCACCTGGCTTCAGCTGCAGTAGGAAACTTTTCTCTCATAGGGGTGTGTAAGTTAATATTGGGACAGCCAGGGGGCGATGTAGTTCAAAGTTAGTGCTTTGTTCTTTGCGTTTTCAAATTTGTTCGCTAAAATAATTCAGGATGGGATTTGCATAGAGTGGTTTCTGAATTAATAAAAAACTATTTGATTAAAAATCTTGTTATTCCTTGTCTACCCTAAACAACATCCTCTGGTGACAAGAATGGAATGCTCTAAGTAAGCAGGGAACATCAACGATTCTTGAGTGCTCCTGGCAAGCTGGTGAATGTGCCCTCCACCCTGACATTTGAGCAAATTTTGTATTTAAACAGAAGCTTTGGGGCCTATTGAATACTTTAATGGCAGTCAGACATCTCCCTGGGATTCATATATAATGGAGTTTCATTCCTTCTTGAGGCAAACAAATTAGAAAAACAAACAACAACAAAAAAGGTGGTGATGGCAGAAGAGATTAAATAAATAAAATATGGCACATTTAAAAAATAGATATAAGCAGAATGAGGTCAATCTACATGTTTTGACAGAGCTTGCAGTTCAGTTCAGATATATAAGCCACTTCTCAATCTGCAGAGGTTACACCAAAGCCCTGTTAGCAAAAGGACCTCCTTGAGAGAATATGTTGTTTACAACTGAGACCAACATTATTGTTATTATTCACTAGACATTGACAACCAAGACCTGTGTTCTATATCAGAGTCCTGCCAAGATCCTGAGATACTACAGTGTATGGAACATGCCCACTAAATGTCTGTGATATAAGATGGAAGCTCATTCCAGTGTGACATGTCATCAATACTCAGTAAAGGAAGTGCCAAGGGTCATCTTACAAACCACTTAGAGAAAATGACTGGAAGTCATAGTTTGAAGGACAATGATAGCTGTTACTGCTGAAAACTGGTTTTCTACAAAAGTCTCATGGGAAGGTACTGGCACACATCACTGCACGTCAGGGTCTGAAACAGTTGCACCATTTGAACATAGTGCAGATGGTGCCACGTTCAACACAGTAAGTAGTAGGCCTTGGGCTGTTACTAACGGTACAGTGTGTTCACTGTGTACAGACATGATCATAATCATCCAGATTTCACTGATGACGAATGAGGCGAATGAAACACTCCCCTCCTAGCAAAGGTTAAGTTAGTCTTAACTAGGAATTATGGATTGGACTAAAGCCACTATAACCGATGTCTTTAACTTCTTGAGGTGAAAGATATCCAAAGTGTCATCACCATACTGATCATCTGGGAAGACATTCTTTACAGGGTAACTTGACTACACCCAGAGACTTGAGAAGCATGTCTTCCATGGCCATTTGATATTGGATTTTTTTTCTCTATTCCCCCTAAAGACACTCAGATGCCACAAAGCGATGAAAGCAATGGTTCCTTCTTAGCTGAAATGGAAGTTATTCGCCACAGAAGAAACATTACTATGTGCCTGCTTTGTGCCGAGCACTGTGCCATGTGCTGTAAACGTGAGTTGAAGGGACACCGTCCTATAAATATAATGCAGGGACATCTTGAGAAAGGGTGTCTTCCTTATGGGTTACAAGATGTCAGCTACAAGGGTCACATTGTCACTTCCTTCCCTTTTTAATCCAGCTGATATTTTGCACCTTGGAAGATGGTGCAAATGAATGTTTTCATTGCTTTAGGCTGGAATTGGATCGGAGCGGTTTTGACTGATAAAGAACTGTTTGACTGAAGACTCTTTTGCCTCTTGCTTGTCAGAGGTGCCCTGTAACAGCTGAGTCAGAAAAGCCTCTGGAATGTCAGGTTGGGGAGAGGGGCCTGTGTAATCTTCAGAAATCTGGATCCTGTCACCAGTCCAGTTATTTCAGGGTTTCCTGCCTCTGACATTATATAATGAAGCACTCTTCTTCAAATTCCCACTTCCCCTGCCCCCTTCACTTTTCAAATGACTGCTGAAGCAGCTGGAGCCAGGGCTGCTGCAGCCTTGAAAGTCCGCCAAGCAGCTGCTGTTGGAGAGGGAGCAGCGATAGGAGTAAGATTCTAATCTGATCGTCTACCTCCCTTCACACTCAAGAAGTGTGAGCACGGTTTCTCCCCATAAATAGAGTGGACGTGTTTTTTGTTACTGCAGAGAGAATGAAGGATAGTCTGTCGCCATAAAATATTTCAAAACATAGGTAGGTATCACCTATAATCAGAGCAATGAACTAACACGGAGCACCCCTGTCTTCTCTCAAACTCTGCCACTGTTTTGTTGGGCAGCCCTCCTTTTCATTTTAACCTTCTTTAAAAAGAAGATAAAACCAGTAATTCCCTATCACCAAAGAAGGCACAAGGAGTTAAATGAAACTCTGTTCTCTGGTGCTTTTTAAAAAGTTGGCTTCTTGCCATTACTGTATTGGCAAAGAAATGCTTTGTTGGGCAGTATAGAAAGTGAGTCATGGGGGTTGAAATGCCAGAAGTTCCTAATGAAGTGCATAGAGCAGGAATAACCCAAATAAACACATGCAAAATGATCAGTTATCAGGGCTCATGCCACGTGATTACCATCGCCAGTGGCTCTGACTCAGACATTTTCTAATGACACTGGCAGGGACTATGACCTCAATCCTGCCTGTACTGATGGAAACTAACGTAAGCATGCTGCCGCTGATAAGCCCCTCTGGAATCTGAGTCACAGCCTATCCCTGTGCCCTACGTCTGAACAATCCTGGTCCATTTATGGAGGCAAAAGCATACATCTGAGGGCTGAGAAAGCCTCATCAGAGTTTGGGTCTTTGTATTAAGGGCTGTTTTCCCACCGTGGATCTAATGTTTTTGGAGATTTATCTAACAAACAACATATAGTAATGATTACTCATTTTCCCATTTTAATTTATCAAAGGCATATATGTGTCAGCCAAACAGAGCATCTAATTAGAAGTTCATCAGAGTCACCACACAAAGGCAGCTAAACCTGTTACTCAAACCGGCCCATGAAAATGAAATGTAAAGAATAAGTGTTGAAGTCCTACTGTACTTTTTGGAATAATAAAAATGACTTTGGACCTATTATTACCTTTATGGACTCCTATGTAGATATTAGAGATAGGCTTCTAAGGGCTTGGGAGGGACAGAAAAGTAAATAGTTTTCTTATTGTGCTGAATGTTGTGCCAGGGGTCTGCACCAGATGACAGATGCAGGGAAGACAGAGCACCTAGGGAGATTTAAGAGGAGATAAGGACACCTCTCTGTTCTCTGGCTGGGCACTTGGTAGTAAGGAAAAGAGAAGGAGATATCAGTTGGGACCAGGTACATATTATTCTGTGATTTAGTTGCTTTTGAAGAGTCAGCACTGTCTCGAGGGTGTGACAACGTGTCCTGATTTCTGGGGCACTTAAGCTATGTTTTAAGGCTAAGTGACTTAGCCGTGAAATAAGAGACGATTACAGATAGCTCTATTAGCTATATATCATACACACACACACACACACACACACACACACACACACACACACACGTCCATTTATAACTCGTCATCAAAGTCTCGTATTTGCCAAGTCACAGCATGTTGCTTTCCTACGTCACGTCTTTGAAAATAGCAATGCTGAAACATCAAAAGCAGGTTACAAGAAGTGAATCTGAAAAATCAAGAGGCATCTTGTTTCCCATATGAATGTTGACTCAACTGATATGGATGTGGATAAGCATGTCTCAGTCTAGACTTCGGTTGATTTTGGAAAGCCATCTTGAATGAGCTGATATGGTGGCATCTCCCTAAAAGTGATGTCTGTGGAAGTTGTGGATTTAGCTCTTTCTTTAAGGTCAGTACTCACTGGAAAAGACACAGTTTTTGCCATTTTGCTCTAAATCATGATGTCTCAGTCCCAGGACTACTGGCAGTTTGGTCTGGGTATGTCTTTGTTGTGGGAGGCTGTCTTTCTATCCACTGCAGGATGGTCAGCAGCATCTCTGGATGCCAGCAGCACAATGTCCCAAATGCGACAACTAAAAATGTCTCCAGACATTGCTAAATGTCCACTGGGGCGGGGGTTGGGGGGGGGCGTGAAATTAACCCTCACTGAGAACCATTTCTCCAAACTAAAGCATACTTCTGAGAGGACAAAATCTCTTTGGGCCTAAGTTAGCATTGATAAAAACAATAAATTATAAATCCAGGCATAGATTCCATCCATGTAGTCTTCATAATACCAAATAAAAATCCAATGTCACTCAATTTTTTACCTTTGAACTTATTGCCTTATAAAACATATACACAAAGTCAAGGCTATCTAAGGGAAAAAACAATTGAGTGAGAATTGGAAGAACATGTTTCTAGTCCTAAATCTGACACTAACTAATTCTGTGACTTTGGATAAATTGCTTAATCTCTCTGGCCCTCCCTTATTTTTTTTTCCATTTGTAAATGAAAGTGATTAAGTAAAGTTTCCAGTTCTAATACAAAGATTATGAGACTCAGAATTAATGCCACCACAATAGGTGATACCAAGCAATAGAAAAATAGGACTCTTTATCTTAGAGTGAGGTTTTATGTTGAGTCTCCTAAGAACATCTACTCCATCTCTTGAGTGCCAAAGACACTCTTTTGGTGCAATCCAATTCTTTTGAAAGCCCTTCCAAGGAAACCTTTGGCATATAAGTGGCTAGAAACTTATCACCTGACCCCTAGGTGTAGCTATTGTGTTTAACAGCAATAGGATGCCACAGAGATCAATGTGGTGAGTGGAGAAGACATATCTTTCATTACACAAACTGTTATTAAAAATATGAGACTTGAATGACATGGTAACAAATACTAAAAATCCCAAATCCTATACTGTACTTATAACAGACCAAAGTCCTGAGATAAAATCAGTAAATATTTGATCCTACAACTTTGTTTGGGTATTATAGTATATTTAAAGGCATGACAGAAAGAAATAATATTTTGATTACCTTTGTAAACACCGGAGCTGCAATGATAGGTTTTCCATCCAATCCTTGCAAATAGTTAGTAGGGCTCTGACACTGTTAGAAGGGAATGAACAATAGATTTATTGTCGCTAGCATTATCAGATAGATAGATAGATAAACAGATAGATAGATAGAACACATTTACAGAATTTGGTGTGTGAAATTAATCTAAAACCAAAAGACTGACATTTTCTAAATCTATGAATTACAGACTTCAAATTTTATACTGAACTGATTGTTTTTCTTTCTAGATCATGGTGACTGCCTCACATGTGTAATTAACCCTGAGTCCCTGAAGAGCTTCCATAGAATTTCTGAGCCTCCACAGATCATAATTTGAAAAACTACTGGATTAGAACTAAAATGTGACCCCTGTGCATTACTCACTGGCTTAGATAAGCAATTGTTTAAATTTTTAAATGGTTTTAAGTCAATAAATAGATCAATAACATGTTACAAATATATTTAGAATAGTATGATTTTATATTTTAGAAGTATATGCATACATATATTTTCATATATATGCCTAGAAAATGTATGAAACTATCTGCTAGAAACTATTAAAGGAAGGTACCTCTGAGGAGTGGGGACAGGGGAGTAGAACCTTAACTAAAGCTTTTACTTAGGATACTTCTCTATTTTTCCAATGTTTTCACATTAAGCATGTATAAGTATCATCATTATCATCATCATCACCACCATCTTGAAGGATGAGAGTCTTTAATGTATTAAAAAAATAATTTCATGGTTGCTCCCATAGAAAGTAGAATTCTGAATGTTCTGGGCCATTGTGTGTAATCAATGCTCTAATGCCAATAAAGCTGGAATATTAGGGACTAATTTATAAAGGGTTTCTGTGAAATTGCCCATGAGCTAGAGAGTATGTTTCCAAAGCAACAGGAACCACTGATATCCTACATTAAAAGTACAGATTATCATGATCATGGAAATGAATTGCCCAAGGTCATTATGAAGGTGCAACAGAGAACATGATCATGCCATACAAGATGGTCATGGTCACAGTGCCTGCCTGTCACAGACTATGGCACTTGTGTTTCCCTTAGACTTTTGTACCTGTTGGATGGTTGATACACTCGGCCGGGCCACCACATGCTGGGCTTGGGGTACTGCTGAAGGAATGGCTGCAGAAGTAGTGGGAGGGGGTGACACCTCTTTTGGCTTCTGGATTCTGAGAAATGATTAAAACTTTTATAAAAACAGACTTATCATTGCTTGTGAAAATTATTTCAGCAAAGTTAGTAACTTATCCCTGCTTATAGTTAGACATAATACAAGTCTTTGGTCAACAATATTCCACAAGCCATTACTGAGGGCTTCTTTGCTACACACTTTATTACGTGTAAACAGGAAGATGACAAGATATCATTCCTGTCCTTGTGTTAGCTGCTCCCAGCCAAGCTGGGGACTTGTGCATATTCACAACTGAGAATCCAGATGAGTGCTATGATGGAGCATGTGCAGAAGATAATTTTTTGAGATTTGTTTTGCCCTCTGTATTTTCCCTCCCCTATCCATTTCAAGTAAAAGGCCAGGCTTTGTAAATCTTTGCTTCTGGGATTTGGGCATGGCAGAAAGCAGAAACAGCCTGAGTCAATGAGCTCTTCAAGTTATACAAATTAAAGGGATTATTTGAAGGGCAACAGAGCCAAGAAATATTCTCGAAGAGGCTACAGAGGGGAGATTATTTTAGTTTTGTGGATCTTGCCAGAGAACCTGATAAGAGGGAGAACCAGAGTCCAGAGGGGATGTAACCCTTATGATTAAAGAGTCCCACTCTTGCTAAAGATATCAGCACCCAAGCATATCAGAAAGCAACAAAGGACTGGACTTGAAGGGGCTTTGAGGTCTGGGACATGGACCTCTCCCTAATAACCTGGGGGAGGGGGGAGGGGGTAGATGACCGATGACAGAATGGGCTTCCCTTTTGTTTAGATGTTACCTCTGTCTGTCTCAGCTTCCTCATCTCTAAAATGGGGAAATAATAATTTTTACCTCATAGAATTTTTGTGAGGGTTATCAATAAGATAATTCATGTAAGATGTATAGAGCAGTGTTTAACATCAAATATTAAATACATATATATCCCAAGGAGCTTTCCACAGTCATGGAGGAGGAATGGGACATCCAATAATAGGTGATTAAATATTTTCCTAACCAGGCAAGTTGGGGTCTCAGAAGCAGAATTATGTGGTCATACAGAGGCTATCAGTGTCCCTGAAGCATCCATCTTTTTCTTCTATAGTAATAGAACCCCTGATTTCTTTACATGGCTACTCCAGATAAACACTGTATTTCCCAAACTTCATTGAAGGTAGGTGTGGCCACATGACTACTTTCTGGTCATGGGATAGGAGGGACAGTGATGTCTGTGATTTAAGAGAAATGACCTTAAGAAGGGGACAGAAGATACCCTATTTCTTCCAATTTTAGACTAAGAAGATGAGGCTACACCATGGAATGAGATGAAGCAGAAAGCTAGAAGTAGATTGGAACGCAGGGGAAGGTGGAGCTGTTTTACTAGCTAAATCCATATTTTTATATAAATGAGGAATAAACATCTTATTTAAGTTATTATTTTGAGTCTTTATTACACATAACTGAAGCAAAACCCTAACTATTACAAGTAGATGGAAAGAAAATAAACAAATGAGTTATTTCTTACTTATTAAGTATGTATATCAAAATTCACACTCATTAGGCTTGTAACCGCGTCATGAGAGCCCTGAGGAGGGAGTGATAAATGTGCGATAGAGGAGAAGTTTATTATAGAACTTGACTAGGTTTTGAAGGCCAGGCAGAGGAGATAGGGCATTCCTAACAAAGTGAACAGCTTGAAGAAAGAGGTGAAATGAAACATACATTGTTTGAGTGAGATGGCAACAGTCTAGAGAACTTGAGGTGGGGGAGTGGAGGAGGAGAGGGTAGGAAAGGCTGGTTGATACTCTACTGAATAAGGCTTTGTATGCCATGCTAAGATTTTTTTAAAATGTTATTGTTTGTTTTGTGTTTTATTTTCCCATAGATAATTTTTTAAGTCAGAAAAATAACAGGATCAGAATGATCTTTTAGAGAGTAACTGGTGGTATTTGAAAACTATAAAAGAGAAAAAGGTTGAAACACCTATAAGGCAGTGACTGGCATAAAGAGGCAGGAACAAAGGAGGAATTTAACTGAAGCCATGGGAATAAGGAAGAGAGTTAAAGGGAGAAATCATTTACTCTGGCTATGAATTTTCATATCTGCACAAAAGCTAAAGGCAAGTTATCATTTCAAGGTAGGCACACAAAGGATTTTGAAGAATAAGACATGATCTCTGCCCTTAAGGAATAATTACCGCCTGTAAGGAGGGGGGCGGGGACAGAATGCGCAAACACAGTTAACAGCTCTTTAACCAGTCTTCCAAATACTGCCACTTGTTTCAGGTAGTCTCAAGGAATGGCTCTCTGTCTGTTGCCAGTTCCCAGGGCTTCTCTCCACAGCCTCCTCCGCTTGAAACGCCCTTTCTTTTCTTATTTGGGGGTGTCTACCTACTGTTCTTTTAGGCCTGAGCTGAAGGTCACCAATTTTGTGTCTTTCTTCCTGATCTCTCTTTCCCTCCTCAACCAATAGAGCCCTTTGTGCCAAGTCTTTTACACCTTGTACATAATTATGTCACCGTTTATCACACTTTATTACTCTTACTGTCTATATGCTTGCTATTATACCTTTTGCTATATTTGCTATATATTTCATTGCTATATATTACATTCCTACTAGACTATAAGCAGGAAGTATCTGATTTTTCTTAGTACCCATTGCATCTAATGAAGGGCTGGTGTAGAGTAGGTGCTTAGTCAATGGTTGTGGAAAGTAATGAATAGATAGATGTAACTTTGTTCAGTACTCATAACAATTGTTCAGCAAAAAAGTCACTTGCCCAGATCATTCGCATAAATAATTTAGGATCACCAGGTTTTGTGTTCTTGTAAGTATTATTATTTAGTCAGAAAACATAAAGTTTTTTGAATCACTGGATGTGTTTTTCACTCTTTATATATAGGTATGATGATACTTCATTGGTGATATCTCATTTTTAAAATAGTGGGAAGCTTGCCTGGCCAGTGTGGGTCAGTGGTTGAGTACTGACCTATGAACCAGGAGGTCACAGTTCAATTTCTGGTCAGGGCATATGCCCAGGTTGTGGGCTCCATCCCCAGTAGGGGGTGTGCAAGAGGCAGACAATCAGTGATTCTCATCATTGATATTTCTATCTCTCCCTCTCCCTTTCCCTCTGAAATCAATAAAAATATATTTTAAAAAAGATTGGGAAGCTTGAATTCACAATTACTTTTCACTAATGTGCTGGAAATGGCCTTTTTATTTTGCACAAATAATTGCACATTTACTGAGAAAATTTAGGAGAGCCCATTTTTAACTCTAAAGGGAACTTTTAAAAAACCCACTAGCAAAGTTACTGATGCAGATGGGTTGCATGGTTATTGGAAAACCTCCTATGTGGAAAGAGTATGTTCATTCCTCCTGTATATTTCCCTCTTTTAACTGCTTTAAACAAGAAAGCCTATATTTAAATAACTTAATTAAAAGCAATAATTAAATAACAGTAAAATACTGGGAATATTAAAATTAATCTAGGCAAGACTTAAGCAAAATTAGAATTACCGATTCATCTCTTCCTTCTTAGGGTCCCCTTCTGAGTCAGAAGAAGAAGCCCCTGAAAAAATAAAACCAACACATGAAACTTTTAAGATGATAATTTCTTAAACTGGTTTCTAGGCATTTGAAGACCTATAGAATTTCAGACATAGAAATGAACTCAGTGATCCCCTACACCAGTGGTTGGCAAACTCATTAGTCAACAGAGCCAAATATCAACAGTACAATGATTGAAATTTCTTTTGAGAGCCAAATTTTTTAAACTTAAACTATATAGGTCGGTACACTGTTATTAACTTAATTAGGGTACTCCTAAGGCTTAGGAAGAGCCACACTCAAGGGGCCAAAGAGCCGCATGTGGCTCGAGAGCCGCAGTTTGCCGACCACGGCACTAACAAACACCCACTTTTACAGGTGAGGAAATAGATTCTAAGTAGTTGAAGGGCTTGCTCAAAGCCACATGGCTAATTAGTGATAGTGTTCAAATTAACTGGTCCAAATTCCAAGTGTTCTTTATATAAAACACCTGCTGATGTCTTTGGACTAAAAAAAGTCTTTGCAAACATTAATGTGGTGTCCATAAATCCTCTTACTGACCTACCCACACTAAATAAAAGAAGGGATTATAATGGATTCCAAACATTGTAGATGTAGGTGGATGCTCTTCCGTCTAGTCCTAATATTAACAAGTCACATTTCATCTCAGGAGGGGGGGTGCTTGAAGCTCTGTTGCCATAAAAATGAAAAAAGATCAGCGATCCAATCTCAGCACTGTTTCCAGAACTTTGATCCTGGATTTATTCTCAATACAGTAAATTCCAGGAAGATTTATCAGAGCTAAATCTGGAGGCATTTATTGTACTCCAAAATTATGAGATTGAAAACATACAACACACTTCTATTCATGCATTATTCACTATTATCATCATTTTTCACAATCTGTTCAATAAATGTTTATCAGACACCCACTATGAACTTGGCACTATATTGGAGATATAGAAGAATGAGACAGTACCTTACAATCTAGTTCATAAATGGGCATTTAAATCATAATAATGCATTATTTAAGTGCTGAAACCAAGGCCTACATAAGGTATTATAGCTGATAAAAGTGTTAAAGAACGGTTCCCAGAAAAAACCAGGGGATGAGATAAATGGGAACAAAACGTTATAGATATGTAAGGAACATAAATTGATTTATTCTCTAAAATTAGTCATATAAATTTTGTGCTGATGTAATTGCCTTTCTAAGGTTCCCAAATGGTCTCCTATCATTTACCCTTGAATCCCTGCAGTATATTCTCACCCAGGAACCAGAGTGACCTTGTTAAAAGCTAAGTCAGATTAAGTCACATCTCTGCTCAGGGTACTCCATAGCTTCTCATCTCCCTCAGAATAAAAGTCAAAGTCCTTGCAAATGACCTTGCAAATGACCTTTATAATGTGTTCACCTGCCTCCTCCCATCTTGAGCCCATCTTGAACTTTTGACCTACCTGATCCTTTTTTTCTTGTTTGCCTCACCCTGGCCACATTGCTCGTCTCTTTGTAATAAGACAGGCACACAGCCACTTCAGGGCCAGTGTACTGTGGATTACTGTGCCCAGAGTTCTTTTCTCTTGAATATCCTTGTGGCTCACTCTTTTACTTCCTCTAGTTCTTCACTTCTATGTCACCTAGTTAGTGAGGTCTTCCTTAATCACCCTATCTAGAATTGCAGCTTACACACAACACACACACACACACACACACACACACACACACACACACACACACACTCATACTTCCTATCCTTGATTGTATATACTGTGAGATAACAGAAAAATATATATAGGTCACTACCCCTGGTTCCTGGCACAGAGCCCCTAAAACTCTTATAATTTCCTAAGTAATGAGCACTTTGGAGTATCTCTGTTTTTTGCCTTTGACTCCATTCCTGACACAGGGCGCCTAAAACTCCTATAAATTCCTAAGTGATAAGAGCACTAAATGGGTCTTGTGTTCTAATGAGATAACTGGGTCGGCTCCTCTCTGGTTCTTGGATGGGGGCTGGTCACCAGAATCATTCTAAGCCCTGATTAGAAGTTTGGAATTTTCAGCCCCACCCCCCACAACCCAGAAGGTGAAGAGGGGCAAAAAATGCCTGCCTGAGGAAGCCTCCTTAGACATTGTAGGTATAGGTGGATGGGGTTTGGAACGCTCATAGGCTGGCGAACATATCCACATCAGGAGGGCGGCACACCCCAACTCCACTGGGACAGGGCTCCTCTGCTCAAGACCCTCTCAGACCTCACTCTCTTTATCTCTCCGTCTAATTGTTCATCTGTATTTTTTATCATATTGTTTAATAAACTGCTTATCAAAAATAAATGTTTTCCTGCCCTGGCTGGTTTGGCTCAATGGATAGAGCGTCAGCCCGCGGACTGAGGGGTCTCAGGTTCCATTCCAGTCAAGGGCACATGCCTGGGTTGTAGGCTTGATCCCCAGTGGGGGGCATGCAGGAGGCAGCCAATCAATGATTCTCTCTCGTCATTGATGTTTCCATCTCTCTCCCTCTTCCTTCCTCTCTAAAATCAATAAAAATATATTTAAAAATAAATAAATAAATGTTTTCCTGAGTTTTGTGACACACTAGCAAATTAATTGAACCTGAGTTGGGGGTTATGGAAACCTCTGATTTGTAGCCAAGCCAGACAGAAATGGTGGGTAACCTGGGGACCTACTACTTGTGATTGGCACTTGAAGTGAAGTGGGAGCAATCTTATAGAACTGAGCCCTTAATGTATTGGATCTGACACTATCTCCAGGTAGTTGGTAAAAGAATTGAGTTGAATTGTAGGATATTCAACTGGTGTCATGAAGAATTGCTTGTTGATGTGGGAAGCTTCCTACCCCCAACACACACACACACACCTCTCATATATTTTATTTGTTGTTGTTGTTTTTTTTTATCTCATATACTTTATGTCTCTCCATTACAATGTAAATTCCATCTTTCCATGAACCTAGGAATTTTTGTCTATTTGGTTCACTGCTGTTATCCCCACTGCCTAGGAGGGTGTGTGGTAGAATAGGCCCTCAATAAATATTTATTTATTATAACTATATGTCTTACCAGTAAATGCCATACTCCAAGAGTATTTTGCTTTACCTTCTATATAAATCTCAGCAGAAGTTGAATCTGTTCCATAGATGTTAGAAGCAAAGCAGGAATAGCGTCCTGTGTCCTCTTCAAAGGCTTCGGCAATTGTCAGTGAGTGCAGATTTCCCGCCTGGACAATATGAATGTCTGGGGAATTTTCAAGCTCCTTGCCTTCACAATACCACCTGCAAGGAAGGGAATATGGGACAGGACTGAAATGTGAGACTTAATAACAGATGGCTTCACATGTTCCTTAAGAAGAAAAGTGTGACAAACTTAGAGTGAGAACATTAAACAATCCACTATTATGGTATAATTTAATTGTAACAATGAGAAGACCTGGCAATATTCAAATCACATTGCCCCTTTACTCAGGAAATTGGAAAGTGGTTTCTATGAAGAATGATACAACTGTGAGAAGATGGACGAGAAAACAAATACAGCCAACCATGAAGAGCGGGGTCTTTGATGTGAACCCGGCTTCCCCTAAAAAGACTTACAGCTCTCTACAGTATGCATTAAGTACGAGTTTAGCTTAATTGAAGATGAGTTGAGTGTGTTCATTCCTTTCTACAAAATTTCATCTGACCTAGCTAAATAAAAATTATTCTGTTAGTTCCTTGAGTGATCAAAGTAAGGAAGATGGGTCATAGTCACCCAGGAGTGGCCCAACTCTGGCAAATAACCTAAGTATATTTCTATAAATTATGGTATTTTATTTTAATTCTATATATTTAAAGTTAGAAATTTTTATTATAACGTAGATTTTTGGCCAGAAGTTTACACAGAATAATACATAAAAAAAATGTTTAAAATGTGGAGGTGCATAATAAGGGGAAAGGCCAGGAAAACTACAGGGAAATGCCATTTCTCACGTAACAGATTGGCAAAAGTGTAAAAGTTTGATCACTCTCACACACTGCTAGCAGGAATGTAAAATAGTACAACTCCTATGAAAGGACTATGGCAACAACTGCCAGAACTACAGATGCATTTATCCTTCGACCCAACAACCTCACTTGTGGAAATCTATCATTCAGGTACAACTGGATACATACAAAACGACAAATGTACAGGTTACTCATTTAAGGCGCAAACAATTGGAAACAACCCAGTGTCCATCACTAGAGGACTGGTAAATAAACTATGGCACAGCCACACAATTGAACACTATGCAGCTCTATAAAGAGAATGATAAAGATCACTATGTACGGAGGTGGGAAGAACCCCAAGATACACAGTTAAAATTTTAACAGCAAGGTTAAAACAGTGGGTATAGAACAGTGGTTCTCAACCTTCCTAATGCCGCGACCCTTTAATACAGTTCCTCATGTTGTGGTGACTCCCAATTTCATTGTTACAAATTGAACATAATTAAAGCATAGTGATTAATCACAAAAACAATACATAATTATATATGTGTTTTCCGGTGGTCTTAGGCGACCCCTGTGAAAGGGTCGCGACCCACAGGTTGAGAACCGCTGGTCTAGAGTGTTAGCATTGTGTAGGCAATGTGGGAGAGTTGAAAATTAGGAAACCAAGTGCCTTGGGGATGTCAATGAAAGAAGCCAATTTGTGCATCAGAACCCCAGCAAGTTTCAGCATCTGGAGATCCACGTTTGGGGATATGGATATAGCTAAATAAAAATCACTGACAGCGAGGGAGGAGACATGGGGCTCAAAAGAGAGTAATTTATTTCAAGTTTGGGAAATGAGCATTTAGACTCCCACAGCTCATCACATTCTCCCTTCAGTTAGGGGCTGCCCCCGAATAAAGGCTGAGTAGCTGGCTGCGTGAGCAGCTGCTCCATATTGGAGCAAGAGGAAGAAAGGCTGTGGGAGGGATTTCTCTAGGGAAAAACAAACGGGCCCGATGACTTAACTGCATGGAACAGAATATTTAGGAAGTGTTTTACAAATGTATTGGAGAATTGAGACAAATCTGTGATGGGACCACAGAACTAAGTACATAAAAAAGCAAGATAGTAATCAACTCCAGGTCAAAATAAAAAGTTGTACCAGCAGCCTGGCCAATGTGGCTCAATGGTTGAACGTCAACCCATGAACCAAGAGGTCATTGGTTCAATTCCCAATCGGGGGCTTGATCCCCAGGGGGTGTACAGAAGGCAGCTGATTGATGTAGTTTCTCTCTCATAGATGTTTCTATCTCTTCATCCCTCTCCTTTCCTCTCTCTCTAAAAATCAATAATTTAAAAAAAGAAAAAACAGACCAGTTGGCATGGCTCAGTAGTTGAGCATTGACCGATGAACCAGGAGGTCAGTTTGATTCCCAGTCGATCGGAGCACATGCCTGGGTTGCAGGCTCAGTCCCCACTGGGGACATGCAGGAAGCAGCCGATCAATGATTCTCTTCATCATTGATGTTTCTATCTCTCTTTCCCTCTCCCTTCCTTTCTGAAATCAATAAAAACATATTAAAACAAAAGAAAAACAAAACAAAACATTCATTTTTCCCTACTTGGATTAGCAGTGAATAATACTCACACAGTAACGGAAAGGTAAACATTTTTCTTTTTAAGCAACAGTATGCTATGATTATATTGAGGCAATGCAGGAAGGAACAAGAGAGGTGCAGGTTTAGTGAAGGGGCGCTAAACCACCATCTTTTGGAACAGGAAGTCAATAGAAAATAGCTAATATCAGCAGAGCAAGCAACAGTAGATTAAGTATTACAGTGGTTCTCAAAGTGTATTTCACTTTCTGTGAAGACAAAACTATTTCATGTAACACTAAGATATTATTTTCCTTTTCACATGTTGACATTTACACTGATGGTGCAAAAGTCACAATGGGTAAAATTGCTGGTGCTTTAGCAGCACAAATTAAGGTGCTGTCAACATTGACTAATGGTCATTGTGTTCTTTACCATCACACTCGGAATCTTAAAAAAGAAAATCCGGTTTTACTTAAAAATATCCTTGATGAAGCAGTAAAAATCATTACTTTTATTAAATCTCAACCTTGAGTCCATGTTTTGTTTTGTTTTTTAATTTTTATTTATTTCAATGAAGAAGGGAGAGGGAGAGAGAGATAGAAACATCAATGATGAGAGACAATCATTGACCGGCTTCCTCCTACAGGCCACCTACTGGGAATCGAGTCCACAACCTGGGCATGTGCCCTGACCAGGAATAGAACCCGCCACCTTTTGGTGTATGGGACTACACCCAACAATTAAGCTACATGGGTCAGGGTAAGTCCATGTCTTTTTAACATTCTGGATGGTGAAATGGGAAGTAGCATAAAGCATTTCTATTGGATATGAGCACTTGTGTGATTTTTTTTTTTAGTTGAACTAGATACTGAAGAGTGACTGACAAATTATGGCTTCTCAGACTTGGGTATTCAGCAGTCATTTTCTCAAAATGTCATTTCCAGTACAAATAACTGATAACATTTTAAGTACAAAAAATTGTAATAATTGTCGCCAATAAAAAAAATTGAGCTTTCAAGGAAAAATAAGAGATTTGGAAAACTTGGATCCTCCACAGTAAGTTTAGGGCTTCCCAATACTTAGACTTTTTGATGAAATCAATTATCATATTAACAAATGTGATTTTTAAAAACTATCATATAAAAAAATGTGCCAACATTTGGAAGGTCTGCATTACTCATTTTCCAAATGACTAATGGGTGATGTTTCTCAGTTTTAATTTCTAATATGATAATTACAGATATAAACCACATAGATAAAATCTCTCTCTTTTAGGTCTCAATAACTTTTAAGACTACAAAGGAGCCCTGAGAACAAAAAGGTTAAGAACCAGTAGCATATCACTTAGAAATCTAGAGGTAAATAAATAGGAAATTCCAAAAAGAGTTGATAGTGGTTTGTTCTTTAATATTCAACTTTTTATGAAATCTACCTGTATTAATTTGGAAAAGCAAATTTAAATATTTCAAAACCAATAAATAAATACCTTCCCTTATATAAATATTATAAGATTATCTCATTTCTTTAGATAACATTTCTCTTCCTTACGAAAGTGAGAGTGAAAACATCCATGAGCAATTGGACAGCCAGGAAGCGATAAGAGGAATGATTCAAATGCCCAAACTCTCTGTCAGAAGCACTTTTGTCCTTACTCAGACAGCCAGAATGAATTCAGCCAACCCAAAGAACAGTCAGTAACATCACTCTGACTTTAACACCATGACCCACTCAAAAATAATGCACCAGTCAGGCTGCCTTTTGAAAAGGTATTAAAATTGACCCAGCTATCCTAAGACTTTTGAGGGTAAGGCTTTCATAGAAATGCCCTGGCCCAGCTATGTGTTTTAGAATGCCAAATCCTCATGATAGTTACAGAATAGCAGTGATTCATGGCTCAGAAGAAATGAGTCATTGATCTGGGGAAATAGGGCAGGTCCAGATTATAAAGAAAAGCCCACTTTTAATGCACTAAGGATAGCTCACCAGATCTGCTAACATGGCTAGCTACAAGCCTAAGAATGAAGACATGGAGGAGACACATTTTTCAGATGTAACTGGACTTTTGGGTTGCATACCACCATTCTGCTGTTAGGTTACTCTTTTATCTAAACTATGGCTTGAATAAATATTATGACTCATTGCTTTAGCACATTAAAAACTTCTAAATGTAATTTGAATGTGTTATTCTGACTCACCAGTAATGCTCATTAAAAGAATGATTACTCAGAGCCTTTCTTTAGTCCAGCTCTTGCCCTTCCAGTGTCCCTGTTCCACCTCTTATTGTTCCCTCTCCTAATGCCATGTTCATTTCCATCACAGAACCTGTATATCACTTATAATTATACATTTATACACACACACACACACACACACACACACACATTACTGGACAATAAATACCACAGGGCAGAGATGATCACGTCCATTTACCACTTGTTTATCTGGCTCTTGGCCAGATGGCACATTCTAGATGCTCCAAAAAGTGCTTGTATACATGTTAAATGAATGAATTTAAATTAGGATTATTATAGCCTAAAGTCTGTTTCATTTTTTAAGAAGGCTTGGGGTCTGGAAAAGTTCTTTCCTTGATTGTCTATAACCATCTTTATCTAACAATGCCTGAAACAGCTAAAAGATAGTGTATTTACTTACTGACATGTTCAGCTCTCTCCCTGCTCAGAGCGACTCTTCATATATCGAGTGCAATGGGAGTATATTAGACAGTATGAT